TAGGTGGGGTGGCCTTCCTGAATACACGTCATCTTTGTAAAGTTGTATGGTTTTGTAGAGTGAGAGGTTTTTTCCCTTGGTTTTTTGTGTGTGTTTTTTTTTGAATAGCCCAAATGCCTATTCAGTGCCAATCTAGGAAAGAATGGAGTCAGCATTTTCACGCCATTCCTTCCTATACAGTCTCTGAATAACCATCTAATCAAGATTTGTTTTCAATGAGGACAAATCTCCTACAGTAGAGTATTTCAGATTTATTCCATTGGAATCTATACATTACTGCCCATTGGGTGAAAAGGACATGTTTCACAAAAGCCTGGACATTGCTTTGCTGTGGCAGAAACTTTTTCCCACTGTATTCGTGTTCAAAAATGAAAGAAAGCCTGGGAAAGGAATTGCTTCAGCATTGTGTGCTGGCGGAACGAGGCGCGCTTGAATGGAGAGCCAGGGTCCCCATCACATCTGTACCCATTTCAGCAAAACCGACTCAGCCCTTCCTGGCTGCTCCCTGCCATGCAGGACCAGGGTACTCGGGAGATGTGAAAAGAGGGCGTCTGTAAAAACCCACTGAGGCTTGTCAGGTCAGACTGTGCATGTGTGCAGGTTTGTGTTTGTCTCTATGGTTTTTAATAAAGGTGGTTGCTGGAAGCCGTTCCATCCTTGCTGCTTGACACAGTCCTTCAAGGAGGAGACATCTGCACAGCCAAGCTCCATGGGACTTGGCGTGTGGCATATCCCTCTTTCTATGCTTGTTCCCCTTCCTGACGCTCTGTGTCCTTACCCAAGTCACTGCACCAGAAAAGGGTTTTGCCCCAGCTGGAAACTTTTCCCTAGCAGGGAAGTCGGACAGAACTGGAAAAGACAATGATTCAGTAAAAGCCCCAAGTATTACAAAGATATCATGTGGCAGCAGAAGAGTTAGGACTTGTTAGGCCCACTACCCCAGGGGCCTTCCCACCAGGGAAGAGGCCTGGGTTGGGGCCCCTGCTGGCTTGGTGACGCAGGGCCATCCACAGGGAGGCCACCAGTGAGTTCCCACTAAGGAATGGATTACTGGGAGATGTTTATATTAATGGAAAACTCTGGGAATCCCCCCAAGGAAAGAGCAGCCTAGGAAAGAGATTATTTCAATCTGCACCTGAACCCTATCATACACAGAATAATCATACACAGGCTATCACACTGAGGACGGACTGCTGTGGGGAATGCAAGCGGGGAGACTGAGGCAGGTGCCAGGCAGGCGGGCAGTCACCACAGCTAAAAACAATCACGCGCAAGCTCCAGAGCCCTTACTCAGAACTCGCATCACCTTTACATAAGAAAAGCTGGCTCAGTTATTCTCCTTTTAGCTATATGGTAGAGCAGTACAGTAGTAACTTCAGAATATAAATAACAAACTAGAGATTAACCGGTAGAATAGCCTATAGAAATATAAACAATAGGTAAGACTAAAATTAACATACCTAAACAGATGTAAATTCTTTAGCAAAGGTCAGATAAGAAGGTGTATTCATTAACTATGAAAGGCCAAAACAGAAACCAGAATAAAGCATGATGTCATGTTGTTTAACCAGCAATAAAATCAAATAGTATAAATACAGTTGTAACAAGGCAATAAAGGGAGAAGCTGATTGTCCTGATGCTCTGAACGCTGTCTCTATGTCCTTCATTCTTCGCGGACGCCATCCACACCTTTGGGGACCCCTGGACTGCTGGGGCTGGACCCCGGCAGATGGTGACACCATTACTGCGTAATCATAACTGAGACTATTTAAGAGATTGTGTGTGTGTGCAATTACCTCTATAGCGTCTACCTGATTGTTTAGGTAGACTCAACCACTTCATTCAAACGAGCAGTTTAAATTTTCCTCATGAGATTGTGTGTGTATGAATGTGAGTGATATGACAGTTTTTGCTGTCAATCATTTCCATCTCTAAATCAACCTCCTTCGTCATTTTTAGTGTCTATTTCTTCTTCTGTGTCTATGTCCTGAGAACAAGAATGTCCTCACCTATGTCTTGAGAACTTGGATGGCCCTAGATCTTTGGGCAATCTGAGTCTCGTTCCTCAGCAATCCAGTGTTACGCAGTGAAAAGAGCGTCAGGGGCATGCCTGGGTTCTAATCCCAGCTCTGCCACTTACTTAGCTCTGTAAAACTTTGGGCAAGTCGTTTAGACACTTGGAGAACCTTGACCCCCTCTTTTATGAAATAGTAATTGTAGGACCTGTTCTAAAAGCATATAATACTGTTGTAAATAGTAGTTGAGATGCTACATGTGAAAGAGTTGTGTACGCTGTAAAACACTACACAAATATTAATGATTATGATCATTGTGATAGAGCTTCTCCCCAGAATTATCAGAAAGAGGACAACTCTTCATCAGATATAACATCTCTTGTGATACATTTTTGGTTGGTGCTGTGAGCAAGGGTGTGTTTAAAGAGTGCTTTCACCTCTGTGGGGAAAACTATTTTTCATATGGCAGTGAGTCAGGCTACCCACAGCTTTCGCATAGTTGTTGTTCCTACAGGGAGCTGTTTGACACTTCCCTCAGAGATGCTGATCTTATCAGAGTCCAATAGTTTCAGTGGTTACGGTTTTACTTAAATGAAAGAGACCTTAGGGGATGGTAACATTGTATATAGAAAACTCTACAGGACAAATTGTCTCATCTCTTTTATTGTTCCATTTATAAACAAAAAATATGTTCTTTAGTAGATGACTATTGTTGAAGTCCCAAGACCTAGAAAGTTGAGCAGCATGCTAGTTCATGGATGTGTATAGAAGTAGCTGAAGGGCATGCTAGACAAACCCTTTCACACGCCTTTACCACAGACCCATGGGCACCTAAGGGCCAGACTTCATTCAGGGACAAAGCATGCAAAAGTACTGATGGAGATAAGAGTGTGAACTCTAGAGCTAGACTGCCTGGGTTCAAATGCCAGCTCTACCACCAGCTGCTTGTGTGGCCTTGAGCAAATTTCTTAATTTCTCTGGCCTCAGTTTCCTCATCTGAAAAATGGGAATAATAATGCTACCTACATCATAGGGTTGTTCTGAGGATTAAATGAAGTAATGTACATAAAGTAGTTAGACCACTTCTAACAGTAGTTAGGATTTGATACATGGTAAGCTCTAAAAAAAAAAAAAGATTTGGTCTTGTTATTATTATCATGGTACAAATGCATGGGGGACTCAGAAAGAACCTGGAATTTGGTCTGCTACTTCTTTCCTCACTATTCCTTCCTGGGTTATTGGGGCCTTCCTCTGGGGCCATATTTTGTATTAACCCAGTTACAGAGGATTCACCATGATTCTTTAGTCTGGCAAAGACAATTTGTTTTACGTGAGTGAAAAAATAGAAACAATCGCCTAATGAACTATTTTAGGCAAGGAACAGACCCAGTGGAAGTTGAAACAAGAAGAAATTCTCTTATGTAAAAAATTGTACAAATCACTGAAAGTGAACAGAGCCTGTAGGCAGTTAGTAAGTTAAGTGGTTACATGTGAGGCTGAGTAAATGTAAAAATGGGAACAGAAGAAATGATGTGGTCACACCGACTGAGCCGACAGCATGAGGAGATTGAGTGAAGCAAGGAAGAAATTCTAGCTGAGCCGAGGCTTTCCTGAGCAGGTCCTCTCTCCTAGGGCTGAGGAGCCGTCTGCAGGCCATTCCCTCCGGGGTTCCTTCCAGCAAGGCACCGAGAGCTCATTCACAGCCAACGGTCACTGGTACTTGGGCCGCCTGGTTTTGAAAGCCCACTTACTTGGCCTCCCTCTCTCAAGGTGATTGTTCAGTCGTGAAGGCAAGAGTGGGGAATGTGACTGAAGAGTGGTTTGGAGAGAAGGATTCTTTAGAACCATTTGAGAGGTGAGGCAGAAAAGGAAGGAAGCCCTAAGACTGATTGTTATAGCCACCTGTTTTATTTCTTCAATCTGTGACCTAAGTGTCACTAACATTATCCCTTGTCTGCACAGCCCAGGGCATAAAGGTGGGTAGCTGACCATTGCCTTCCTCCTGGGAGCTGTGGGATACTTCCCTCTTGCAAGTGCAGGGGGCACCCAGTTGCCTAGGATGCTCGTACGTCCCACTCCTGGTTTAGTCCTGCTGCCCTGACTAATTACTGTGTTCCTTTCTCTCTCAGAGTGCCCAGTGAGAATGCTAAATATGATCACTGAGTGTACTCCAGTCTCCCAGGTCAATGCTGCCATCTCTGACTTTTTTAACATTTCTTCCTCATTAAGCCTCAGAAAATTCAGAAAATCACCACATCACATATATATAACCACCCTAGAAAGTTCTCAGATTGTTGGAGGTGACAAGAATGTTACCTGTAGTATGTTCTGCCCCTGTAGCTGGCAGGCAGCATTCTACAACGTGCCCCTCAACTGGAAACCGTGGTAGCAGCTGTTTGGTGAATATCTTAGTCCGGGTGGACTTTTCCAAGAATTTTTTGTATACATGGTGTGGATTTGGGGAATATGCCACATAAATTAATAGGAAGGGCATTTATTTTTTACTATGAATGTTGTTGCAGGCTATGAATAAAATAAGGAACTTTAAAAAGTTGGGGAAAATGTAAGCTTTCCCAAAGGACCTGGACTTAGGCCTGTCCCAAGGAGTTTCTTAAGAACAAGTCTTCCATTTGCCTTTCACTTCTTATTTACTGAAGTTGTAGGAGTGGCAGGCAAATGACCCATCTGCTAATTGGGCTACTCTGACTGACAACCCTGGCTAACGCTCTAGGGGATTAATGCGGATTCATTGCCCTAAAACAGCTGGGACACTGTTGGGACACGATGCAAGGCCTTGTTCCCATAGGATACCATACCCTCAGCTTGACCCCTGTGCAAACTCCGTCCATCTCCCCCGAGCCCTCTTGTGTCTGCAGGGCGGGTGCGTCTACAGCCATGAGCATTACCCACCTGCGACCTACGTGTTAGGAGTGCCATCAGCTAGCTCTGACCCACGCCCCGTTTTGTGTCTGTCTTGCCGTGCAGGTGACATCAGTTGCAAGGGGATGACCGAGCGCATTCACAGCATCAACCTTCACAACTTCAGCAATTCCGTGCTCGAGACCCTCAACGAGCAGCGCAACCGTGGCCACTTCTGTGACGTGACGGTGCGCATCCACGGGAGCATGCTGCGCGCACACCGCTGCGTGCTGGCAGCCGGCAGCCCCTTCTTCCAGGACAAGCTGCTGCTGGGCTACAGTGACATCGAGATCCCGTCCGTGGTGTCGGTGCAGTCGGTGCAAAAGCTCATTGACTTCATGTACAGTGGCGTGCTGCGCGTCTCGCAGTCGGAAGCCCTGCAGATCCTCACGGCCGCCAGCATCCTGCAGATCAAAACGGTCATCGATGAGTGCACGCGCATCGTGTCCCAGAATGTGGGCGATGTGTTCCCGGGGATCCAGGACTCGGGCCAGGACACGCCGCGGGGCACTCCCGAGTCGGGCACCTCGGGCCAGAGCAGCGACACAGAGTCGGGCTACCTGCAGGGCCACCCGCAGCACAGCGTGGACAGGATCTACTCCGCGCTCTACGCCTGCTCCATGCAGAACGGCAGCGGCGAGCGCTCCTTCTACAGCGGGGCGGTGGTCAGCCACCACGAGACGGCGCTCGGCCTGCCCCGCGACCACCACATGGAAGACCCCAGCTGGATCACGCGCATCCATGAGCGCTCGCAGCAGATGGAGCGCTACCTGTCCACCACCCCGGAGACCACACACTGCCGCAAGCAGCCCCGGCCTGTGCGCATCCAGACCCTGGTGGGCAACATCCACATCAAGCAGGAGATGGAGGACGATTATGACTACTACGGGCAGCAAAGGGTGCAGATCCTGGAACGCAACGAATCCGAGGAGTGCACGGAAGACACCGACCAGGCCGAGGGCACCGAGAGTGAGCCCAAGGGTGAAAGCTTCGACTCGGGCGTCAGCTCCTCCATAGGCACCGAGCCCGATTCGGTGGAGCAGCAGTTCGGCCCTGGGGCGGCCCGGGATAGCCAGGCTGAACCCGCCCAGCCTGAGCAGGCTGCGGAAGCCCCTGCAGAGGGCGCCCCGCAGCCACACCAGCTAGAGACAGGTGCCTCCTCTCCAGAGAGAAGCACCGAGGTGGAGATGGACAACACGGTCATCACTGTCAGCAACAGCTCCGACAAGAGCGTCCTGCAGCAGCCTTCGGTCAACACGTCCCTTGGGCAGCCATTGCCAAGTACCCAGCTCTACTTACGCCAGACAGAAACCCTCACCAGCAACTTGAGGATGCCTCTGACCTTGACCAGCAACACACAGGTCATTGGCACAGCCGGCAACACCTACCTGCCGGCCCTCTTCACTACCCAGCCCGCAGGCAGCGGCCCCAAGCCTTTCCTCTTCAGCCTGCCACAGCCCCTGGCAGGTCAGCAGACCCAGTTTGTGACAGTGTCCCAGCCCGGCCTGTCGACCTTTACTGCACAGCTGCCAGCGCCACAGCCCCTGGCCCCATCTGCAGGCCACAGCACAGCCAGTGGGCAGGGCGAAAAAAAGCCTTATGAGTGCACTCTCTGCAACAAGACTTTCACCGCCAAACAGAACTACGTCAAGCACATGTTTGTACACACAGGTGAGTGCAGCGCCCCCCCCCCCCAAGTCTGGCAGCTGGGGGGGG